CCGCGCCCCCCCCCCAAACCGCCCCCCCCCGCCTCAGGCTGACGTGACTGACACCTCTTCCAGCCAATCGATTAGCACTAAGGGCCCAAGATCCCGCCTCGAGCCACTGCGACCCCTGGTAGCCAGTAAGATGTCGAGAACGAGCGTGGCCTTCCCCCGGGGCGGGGTCAACCGCAACGGTAGGTTATGCCAGCCAGAGGGTGAGCGTCCGTTTGGAATGAAGGGAAAAGCGACCAATAGAAAACTGAAAAGGGCCAAACGGACGGGTGAACTATCCAATAGATGCTCGCAACTCTAAGTGACAGGCAATACAGCCAACCCGCACCGAGCGGGCGGGGCTCCCCGCGTGGCTCCCGTTCCCGTTGTGTGAGGGGCCGAATCCCAAACGGTCTGCTCCTGCTGCCGCCGGGGTCTGGAGCCGGGCCTGGGGGCGCGGCGCCGTCCTGCGGCCTCCCCCGCTCCCCGCCACCTCTGCGGCCTCGCTGCGCCCCGGCCGGCCGCGCTCCTCCTCTCCCCCGGCCCGCTCCGCCATCCCGCTCCCTTCGGCCGGGCCCATCGCGCCCCTCCGAGCCCAGCTCGGGCCCCCTCTCGGCCAGGCCCGCTGCCCCCCTCAGCCCCGCCGCTACCCGGGGCCCCCTCGGCCGAACCATGTCGCTGCACGGGAAGCGGAAGGAGATCTACAAATATGAGGCGCCCTGGACCGTGTACGCCATGAACTGGAGCGTCCGGCCGGACAAGCGGTTCCGTCTGGCGCTGGGCAGCTTCGTGGAGGAGTATAACAACAAGGTGGGGAGCGGCGGCGGCCGGGCCGGGCCCTACCGGCATCGGGCGGCGGGGCTGGGGCAGAGTGAGGAGGAGGAGGGGGCCGACCCTCGGCATCCCAGTGGCTTAAGCAGCTCCGGCACGGCCCCCGCGGTTGGCGTGGCTGGAGGGAGCCTGGCCGCCTTGCCCTGGGCGTTGGGAGCTGTGTAGAGCCTTCCGATGATCCCCGAAGTGCAGGGTGCTGGCCTAGATTCAGGCTGGTTTCCTTCCTGCGAGTCCTCAGCTGTTGGGAGACTGAGGGACTCGGGGTGGGAAGCGCCATGGGTGCTGCTGCGGGCTGCTCCTCAGCCAGGACAGTCCCCTAGCTTGAGCGTATTGGGCTTTTTTTTCAGCATGAAGGAAGATTTATGGCCAGGACTACAGTTTGCACATCTACAGGGTGTCTGAAGTTGTGCTGGAAATGTTGTGCTCATCTCATTGTACTTTCTTGCTACGGATAACTTCTGTTTGACTTTTCATCATAGCATATAAACCACTTGTACGGATTCCTCAGTACCTTTGCTTTTCTCTGAGAACAAGGGTGTAACGAGGCATGAGATTGTATTTTCAGTGTTTCCCTGCCAGATATAAGCAGAGAATTTTACATTGGTAACAGAGCCTACATGTTCACCTCTCCAAACACTTGTGCAGTTGTTCCTGAACAGACTTTAATGTACTGGTCTCATACAATGAATTCATATAAATGGAAGAGAGATGAGGAAATGGGCATAGCTATAGAGCATCCTGAAATTTGTGTGAAACTAAGATTTTGCAAATACACCTTTGTGCATTGACAGCACAGGTGCTTTGTAGCTTTGTCAAGCTGTTTAATGGGGATTGCGGAAAAGAGTGGTAGGAAGTTGGTGTTGGGGATTGGACTTTGTGCGAGGATATAATGAGAGGGAGTGACGGTAAGGCAGGGCTGACATCCCTTACAGTGGTTAAATTACTGCACTTACAGCAGCCCTAGACATGATACGTCTGGGCACTTTGTAGTTCAGGTAGTATGAGCTGGCTGCCTTGGAGTTGTCTCCGTATGCTGGTGAGCGCTGTTGTGGTTCTGGGAGTGCTGCTGGGGAAAGGCAGGTCCCTGAGCTTGAAAACTTGATTTGTTTAAAGACCAACTTGAAAATATTTTTGTAGTCTGTACTCTGAGAAGCTAAAATAACAAACTTGCAAACAGTTTTTTTTGTTTAGAGGTGGTGGAATTGGTTAATAGGGGCGTATACATTAATGTTGCCTTTACCTCCTGAAGTTTGCACCATTCCCTGGGGTTGCTCTCGATTACAGCGTGATCAGGTCCGCTTTTCAGTTCAGGCATAAAGTGCAAAGCAGTTAAATCAACCCTTATCTTTTTTTTTTTTCTACCCTTTACACTCACAGTTGTTGCAGACAGAAATTGTGTAGGACTATGTAAATTACTGCTGTCTGTAAATTTTCCCCAGGGCTTCTCTTGACCTCTGAGCTTCAGGAATAACTATTCTGTTGACTTCAGTCCATTTAAGCGCTGCATGCTATGAGATCTCTGTGGTGTAAAGAGCTGGAAACTAATGGTATGAGAATGAGATGCCAGTCTGGATGCTGCTGCTGCTATAGAAATAAAGATGATGTGTGATTAAAAATTAAACTTGTACAATAAATGCAGTGAAACATAACCTGCACTTTGAGAGGTTTTGCCGTGACTCTGCTACTTCAAAGAAGGTGGAGGGGGAGGTCGTGGTTTTCTTTTTCATGCTTTTTGTAGTGCTTTCAGTACAGCCTTCCACTGTAGGGAGATGGTTGAGAGAGAGCTGTCTTGGGTAATTGCAAGAGTTGTCGTTGCTTAGAGTATTGATGTTGTCTCCTTTGCTTTGGGGACCAGAACAAGCTTGGGAGCGGTGTTTCATCTGCACTGTCTGTATCTCGCTCTGACTCTCACAGCTTTGCTGTATCTTTTAGGGAATACTGAAACTTTCAGGAAATAGCTTCATGCTCCAGACTGGGAACTCTTGGACAGATACTCTATGGTTGTGCTAGGTGCATGCTAGTTGTAAACTCTTTCAGCTCCAGTGTCTGTCCATGGAAGTGGTACAACTGAAGGAACAAAGGGAAAGAACTGAAGTTACCCCGTTTAAGTAGTTCCTAATATTGTGCTGCAAAGAGTCTGGAGCAGTTGGTTTTATAGCAGAAATTCAGGATTTTTACAGAGCATGTGTGAAAGCTTTGTCCTCCTGCATAACTTGCCCTTCACAGTTGAGATGTTTTATATTGCCAGCTTCTGACATCAGAATACACTTCTAGGTATAGCTGGCGCTAATTAAAAGGATAATGAAAACTCATTTTCTTTTCAGCTTTCACTTTGCACTCATAATCTTTAGAGGTTTCTGACAAGCTCCAAACAACATTTCTGTTCCTGATGTTGTAATGGTTTGTTCCAAATAAGTGGCTTTCTTCCTTACCCTTAATATACTAAAAAAAAAAAAACGAAAACAAAACATCTGGAATAGCAATTCTAGCTTGCTTAAAATCTAGCGAAAAAGGTGAACATTCCTTTTCCTCATTACTCTTCTGTTTTAGGGTTTCATTTAAAAAGGTGCTTTTAAAAAGACTTAATGCACCAAGTGTTTGTTGCAGCAGAAGTGCTCACTGTGAAGGAGTTACAGTGAAAAAAAGAGGAGAGATTCTTGTCTGACTTGTCTCTGTGATTTTCTGTTTCTGTAGTAATTACCAGAGCTTGAAGTACTTATGGGTTACATATATGAAATGGCTGTTTACACCTCTGTTACATGGGGAGCTCAAATTTATTGACCGCCAAACCCTAATTAACTGCTATCCCCAGTTCCCAGACTCTTCCAACCTCTGTCAACCCCCGTGCTAACAAGCTGTATAGCATACCAGAACTCTAGTTGCCAAGAACCATTGGAATCCCAAAGGAGTTTTGTTTCACCTTGCACACCTTTGCTGATCAAATCACTGGTACAAGAAGAGAGATGACTTGCTCCAGTTAGAAAAACTAAAATTATTTGGGGTAATGTTTCCTGAACTTCCTGGCTTAGGAAACTGCTGTCAGCCTTTATAATGCCTCATGGATCACTGGCGTAAGGGGAGGGAACGGAGGTGTTCATAAATCTCTGTTAACGCTGTTCTGCAGGCTTCTGACTTCATGGATCAGGAACGTTCTGTGGAAAACATCAGGGAAGGCTGATTTGGGGATCTATCTGCAAGACAAAACTGGAGTCCAGTTTGGAAAACAGTAGAGGGTGGTGCCGCACACCGCTCGCTCCATCGCTGGCGCAGACCGACAGGTCATGACCGTGTGCTTCCCAGGTTGCCACCTTCTCCTGAACAGTCCCTCGAATCAGAGAGCATTCAGGGTGGTTGTTTTACTAGAGGGTCATTTCTTCTGTAAGGTTTACAGTTGCAAAGAAAAATTGATTGCATGTTGAAAACTAATTGGTGCAGTGAAATCTTTGTGATTGTATGTGACCCTAAGATAATTGTGAAATGTCGTTCTTAGTAGTTACTAATTAGATTCAAGGGATATAGTTTTTAAATTAAAGTACTGTGAACTTTCTTCACTGTTCCTCAAACCATGCAAGGAAAAAAAGTAAGGTGTTACCAAATTCTGCATTGTTTAATTCTGTGTCTGGTTCTTTTGGATCATGTTGAAGAGAGATGTAATTTTTTTAGAAGTTAAGGAATGCTGATTAAAGGCACTTCTTTACTCAGATGCACTGTTGCAATTAAGCCTTACATCTTGGAGGCTTGGATTATGATAGGAAAATCCACATCCAATTTTAGCATATCTATATGTATTGGAGAAACAAATAATTATTTAGCATTTCTACCTATTGTCATAGCATAATTGCAAAACTAATGGAGATTGAACACACTGGTCCTCATTTTCCCACTGGAATGAGTTAGAGGTATATGTAGAATGGTTCAAATTGTATCCAGACTGACAGTTACTTTCCTGTTAGCATCACCTCAGTCTTATCTGGGCTGGACTTCAGGCATTCCTTCATGCAGAAACTGGCAGCAGCAAATCTTGTCTCACTTGCAGGAGGGAGAGACAGGGCTCTAATACAATCAGCATCCTGAGAATAATTCCATCGTTCCATCTCCTCGTGTTCAGCCTGCACAAGAAGATGAATAGAGGGATTCTGTAATCACTGTAGTGATCAGGTCCAATGAGAAGAGTCATACCTTTGAATATGCTGAGCTAGGAAAGAATAGAGCTTCTCAAGCAGTATTTTCTGCTTCTGCTCCTGTCTCCAGGCAGACCGATGCCTCCTGCTCAGAGTTATCACAGGCTGCTGCCAGGTCTGACAGTCGGTGTCAGACACCTGATCCTCAGCAGTTGCCAGGAGCTTTAGCCTTGCTAATGCAATTTTTTGTTCTCTAACCTGGCCCGCACCTAAAAATGTCAAAGATCACAAAGATATTGGGTTGCTACACAGTCATTGCTTTTTTTCTTCAGATCTGAGGAGGGGTTAAACATGAATATGCAGTGCAGGAATATATAAATTCACATCAGTGAAACAGGGTCCTTTGCTGTTTGAGATTTGCTTCTGGTTATGAGTATGTTGACTACTTTGTGTAGGCTTAATACACTCATATTGAGCTGAAGACGGTATAAGCAAAGGAGAAGAAATTATTAGAGGTCATTTGTCTTCTGATCCTGACCTTGCTACAAGATTTTCTATCACCAAGGACAATTTGCTTCCTTTGTAAAATCCGCTTAGTATTTCTGATCCCTAAAGGAGTTAGAAAGCTATTTGTCAATCACTTTGGAAGACTGGGAGATTCTTGACTGATTCATACTAGAGCGTGAAGCATAATAAGGAGTAGCTGTAATAAAGAGAATGCAAGGCAGACAGACACACGGTTTTTAGAAGCATACTTGGATATGTCTCTTAGGTTTTGTTATGGAGTGAAAAGGATGGATTTTCTCATTGTGGCAGGGGACAAGGTTTGCATCTCTAAATGGACTCATAACTGCTAATCTTATAGTTTAAGATCCACTGAACCATTTGTTGGGGTTTTGTTATGTGGAAAAAAAAATTGGTAGATTTCTGATCTCATTTAAATGTGTAGTTTATTAACCAAATTGCTTATCCCAGAATATTCAGGATTTTTCCAGATAAACATCTTGGGAAAAAGTCCATTAAGCCACTGTTTCCAGGAGTTAGCTGCCGTGTGGAAATTACTAGGAAGTTCCTACCACGAGCAGCTCACAAACTAATTGTAGTGAGTTGTCCCCATAATGTTTATGTTTGAACAGCATTTAACACAGTGGGGCTTTCATCCTGTTTGGGTCTTGTAGTCACTGCTAGGTTAAATGTATCCTCCCAGCACCATATTGTTCTATGAACACTTTCTGACATGTCAATATTTTTCTAATAACATAATGTCTGGGACCTCAAGCATGACTTCAGGTGTTGTCGTGACCTAGCTATGTGGGGATACATCCTTGTCTGCTCTGTCTTGCATCACTCTCACAACTGGGCAAGTCAGCCTTTCCCACTGTCACATTACTGTGCAAAAAAACCTAATCTGGAATTCAGTTACCTGGAATCTTTCAGCAGACTTGCCTTTGTGTTCTTTTCACACAAAACATTTGAATAATTAATTAAATATTTTAGCTTACCAATTTTTTTTTTTTAAGTTTGAATTCTGTTTTACTTTCTGACTCTGCTGTGAATCTGTACCTTAATTTTCTGCAGTTGTGACAGAATGTTTTAGTTCAATGTGATGCTGAAAACAGCTTGATAGCTGGCTGACGTGATCTGTCACAATCTGCAGGGTTATGGCCAAGGACTCCATGATACGGGCTTTAATTGTGGCTGGTTGTCATGCAAACTACAGCTTGTCCTGCTCTCTGAAGATGACATTGTCAGCATCAGTTCCGTTAAAGATGCTTGTGCAGTTCAACTCTGTGATTTAAACTAGCCTTTGCAGCGTGGAAAAGAGAAGGGTGGTCTCTAATCCTTTAGGATTGGATTTCAATTCGTTTGAGATCATCTCTTCAAAGTAAAGCACTGTGCTGATTACATATACTTCACTTTGCTTACATGCCCCAGCTAGGATGCAAAGTTTTAATGATTTCTCATTCCATTGATGTGATGGTCCTTTTATATTGTCCTTGAGGTTACAGAAGGTGTCCTTCTGAAATACACTCAGTCTTAATGCTGTATTTATAAATGAGTATTTTGATTAAATTCTTTCTTTTAAATATGACTTCTTATAGGTGCAGCTTGTTGGTTTGGATGAAGAGAGCTCGGAATTCATTTGCAGGAACACCTTTGATCACCCCTACCCTACCACAAAGCTTATGTGGATCCCAGACACCAAGGGAGTTTATCCAGACCTGTTGGCAACCAGTGGTGACTATCTGCGAGTGTGGAGAGTGAGTAAATCCTCTCTAGGAAAAGATAAACCATGATATTAATTGTGTTGCATATTGATTTCATTTTCACTAAAGACCAGGTTCTTTGAAAAGAGTTATTTTCCTTTCAGAGTGTCTTGCCCTTGCTACAGTGTGGAGGTTAAGACACAAAATCAAGTCAGAGCACCTGATAATTTGTTTTCTTAACCACAATAACGTGACTAAATATGAAGATTACAGGAGAAGCAGAGTTCTCATGGTAGTTGCTGTTTTAATCACCTTATTGAAGATGGAGATGGTGATTGTGTTTTCCAGAACTTTAGGATGTAAAGCTGAGAGGACAGAAACCCAGGATTAACACTGTATGTTTGGAAGTGCAAGTGGAACAAATCATGTGATGTTGCTATTTAAGTCAGATGTTTCACTTTTTCTAAAGGTGGGTGAAACAGAGACCCGGCTGGAGTGTTTGCTGAACAATAACAAGAACTCTGACTTCTGTGCTCCGCTAACATCGTTTGACTGGAATGAAGTGGATCCTTACCTTCTAGGTGAGACTGACAAAATGCTACATTTTCAGCGTGGAAGAGACACGCTTTTGAATTTAGCCTGGTGGAGTCTGGGCTCTGACTGCTGTGTCATTGCATGTCACTGGTTAATTTGATAACGAACCAGTGGATAAACTTCTACATTATAGAAACTGCCATTGTCTTGGGTTAAAAACAACAGCAAAAAAAAATTGAGCAGCTGATGGAGACTTTTTTTGCATTGAAAGTTTCCCTGTCCAGTACAGAATGGGTTGCTTAGGTTGGGTTAGGGGTGTTCCTTATTTGCAGGGATTCTCCATCTTCAGGGCTGGTGAGCTGTTGTTGTAGTGCTAAGTGATGATATAAATCGACTCCGCTTATTTCAGTGTGTTCTGGAGTGGGTAGAAAACTATGTACCAAGCTTTTTCTTTTGTGAAGCCATTTCAGGAGCAGGAGTAAAGCCAGGAGCCCTTAATTCAGCTGGAGGAGGGGGCTGAATGCTTTACGTTTAATTATAGCCTATGGGACAAATTGTGAATCCAAGATGACTGATCCAGCAGAGGTTTGTTTCCCAGAAGAGTACAGCCATTTATGTCAGGGGGATTTGTGCAGAGATTAACAGTGATAATATGTCTTAGTAATTATTTACTACATGATTTATTTTTTTGTGTGTTGCATCTCTCATCTCTTAAGAGCTTTACTGCTAGCCCCACCTTCAGTCCACAGAAACAATCAATTAATACTAATACACTATCGCAGCATAACGATTGAATTTTGGTTTTGATGTGCACATGAGACTTACAGGATGGGAAAGTTCATCTCAGCATTGCATCAGGCTTCTGAATAGATTGAAGTAGACATGAGCTATTTGCACTTTATTCCTGTGTGGAAGACTATTTCTGCAGCTAAAAGGTTTGGGTTATTTAAATGCATGGTAGACTGTTAGCTGTTTGCCATTCTTGATTTTAATTGTATGCTGTTCTTGTAGCTGTTTTGATCTGTAGATGTCAGAGGATATTACATTAATCCAGTAAGTGATTAAATAATTTGTGGGAATATTAATTTTGCTAACAGAAGTGGTTTTGTTTCAGGTACCTCTAGTATTGACACAACCTGCACTATTTGGGGTCTGGAGACAGGACAGGTTCTGGGAAGAGTAAATCTGGTCTCTGGCCACGTGAAGACCCAGCTTATTGCGCATGACAAAGAGGTGACCGCTTTTTTTGATTGTTCACATTGCATATTTTTTAAGCGGTAGAAAAGGAACAAAACTTTTCTGTTTTCTGCCTTTTTCTTGACAAATCTAATGATCTAGAAAGATAATTATCTAAGATTAAGATACACAGTTCTGCGTGAATGAATTCCTTGTTTTGCTTTGCTTGTGCGTGCAGCTCTTGCTTTACCCATTAACTTGTCTTTATCCCAACCCACAAGTTTTCTCACTTTTACTCTTCCGACTCTTTGTTCCATCCCACCAGGGGGGAGTGAGCGAGCGGCTGGGGGGGCGGGGGGGGGGTGCTTAGTTGCCAGCTGGGGTTAAACCATGACAGAGTACCAAACTAAAACTATACTACTGGTTACCAAAACTATGTTTGCTGATCATAGAATCTGGATGTGAGCATATGCTTGTTTTACTGATTATGCTCTGGAATATTTTGGAAAAATGAGGTAAAATGTCAAACCGGAATTGAAATCAACTGCATAACAAAGGCAATAAACAACTTGCAAGATTCTTTCATTTTAACATAATCATAGTTTTCAGCAATCAATGTAAAAAACCCTGAGTCTAGGAAATTGATGAGTTTGGTTTCAGTGAATGATCCTATAATGACATAACCTTTTTAAGTTTTCCCCCCTCCTTTTGGCAAGTGTAATAACTAAAAGCTTGCTAGGAACATCAAGTATTTGACAAAATACGTCGCAACTAGATCTGCTGTCCATATGTAAAATCCATTTTACTGCGAATTAGGAGGCAGTGTGCTCACTAAAACTAAGGTTATGTTTTTCTCTGTCCTGTTACTGAGCAGGTGTATGACATCGCGTTTAGCCGTGCAGGTGGTGGGAGAGATATGTTCGCTTCAGTTGGTGCAGATGGCTCGGTGAGGATGTTTGATCTCCGTCATCTGGAACACAGCACCATAATTTATGAGGACCCACAGCACCATCCATTGCTGCGTCTCTGCTGGAATAAGCAGGATCCCAACTATCTTGCTACAATGGCCATGGACGGCATGGAGGTAAGGCGGCAGCTCATCTTCTGTAGGTGCTAGTGGTTGTGATTTTTTTGCGAGGTAGCTTGGTAGCAATTAGTAGTCAGTTCTTTAAAGTAAGGGGGCAGTGTCGGTACCTGAGCTGGAGTATGGTTAAGGAACAATTCTTAGTGCGCTAACTTCAGTGGGAACTAAAGAAGTAACTTTGGCATTATGAAGATCTCTATGGCTTGTATATATTTCAGCTGTTTTTTAAGAGGGGTCTGTGAGCCAGTTGGGTAATAGCTTTCGTGTAAAAGCTTAATTGGAAGTGTTTTTGTTGCCTTGCAGCACACAAGGCAGTGTATCTTAGTTTGTCACTTCTGCTGCTTCAGGGAAGCATAATTCATTTGCCCTTGTTGCATAACTCGCAAGCCCTCCCTGTGAGGCCTGACTCCTTTTGAGAGAGACAAACCAGCTAGAAACTATTCTTTGAGAACAGTGTTTGCTTGCCAACTGCATTTATAGCCTTGGCTCAAAATATTTGGCTTTCTGAAGAAACAAGTTTTAAAAATGCAAGTTATTAATTTAGTTGTTTTTTGTTTCTGAAGGTTGTGATTCTAGATGTCAGAGTTCCCTGCACTCCTGTTGCCAGGTTAAACAACCACAGAGCATGTGTAAATGGAATTGCTTGGGCACCTCATTCTTCCTGCCACATTTGTACAGCAGGTAGGTGTGATCCATCCCTATCCAGCTGCATTGGTGAATCTCTGAGAGTCTTTCACTGCATTTGCAAAATTCTCTCTCTAAAAGTTGATGCAGTTCTCTGCCTGCTTTTTGCTAAAGAATACCTGCAGTTTAGAAACCCTTTATTAATGACTTCCCTAAAATTTTTATGAAAATAGAAACCTACTGGAGCTTATTGTGTTAAAGTAGTGAGTCCAGTGCCCAAGCTGTGCATCTGGTTTGGTCAAGTTATATTATTTTAATGCTACCTTTTTTTTTTTATTAATCTAGTTCTTAAATGTTTTCAGTTGATATGAGTTCTACTGATCATTTGTTTTTCAACTCTGTCCTGGATAACATATAATGATCCAAACTTTTTTTTTTTTTTTTTGTATCATTGCATCTCTGGCTTGAATACTCATGGGGACTGTGACAGCCATATCCTATATAGCTCCTTGGACTATACATGTGTTAGTGCTCATGTATGGCATCTCGTTATACCTTGATTCTACTTATGATTTTCTCTTCCATTTGCAGCGGATGACCATCAGGCTCTCATCTGGGATATCCAGCAAATGCCTCGTGCCATTGAGGACCCTATCTTGGCCTATACAGCAGAGGGAGAAATCAACAATGTACAGTGGGCATCAACTCAGCCAGACTGGATAGCTATCTGCTACAACAACTGCCTGGAGATTTTGAGAGTGTAACATTACTGCTTCATGCCACGTTGAGGCAGGGCTGTATAATTTCCCCTCCCCTCTAAAGTAAGAGCAACACAAGTCAAGTGGCCAGTATCTGTTGTTGCTTTCCATCTACTGTTACAAGGAACTGTTGCAAGAATCCATGGCAGGTGTCTCCTGTCTCTCCAAGACTAAAATGCAGAGACACGCTGAGCCTCTTGGACCTTCTGGGTTCTGGTTTTCTTTTCTTTTTTTTTTTCCCCCCCCCCTCAGTTAAATTTCTGTATATTTGTTTGTTGACTGTATTAATAAGCTTGCAGGCTTTTAAGTTGCTGCATATGTCCATGTGTTTGTCAGCCAGCTGAGGCAGCACATCCAACTAATTTAATAGATGCAAGTGCAAAACAAGGTGGGGGAAGAGACACTGGTGTTAACAGCCGCCTTGGCAGGAGGAATCTTTATCATTCCTGTTGTTGCTGCCTCTAAACTGTTTAAACATTTGTATGTTTTTTATATATTGGGCTAACTTTCTATTGAGTAAGGTTTTTCTCCCTGATTCTTACTTTTGATATGTGATCCACTTCCATATGCCCAAAGCAAGATCTATTCATTGATACAAATCACAGTAACGCTGCAGGCTCCCTGGCAGTAAAGGTCTGCCAGAATTAACTGTTGCCTTGGCGCTCTATACCTGGTTGCCTGGGCAGAATTTTCTGGTGCTGTGAAGTACAAGTACTTGTTGCACAATTTCTTTACACTTTTCTGATGCTAGAGGCAGTTGTTACTATGGTAGGTCTTATTTTTAAATTATAACTGAATTTTTGTGTATCCCACAGTTGTGATAGCTAACAGAACGGTAATAGGTTTCAGAAGGAAGGTACATGCATGACTTAAGCTCCCAGGAGGTAAACGACTCCTGAAAAAATGTGATTTGTAACGGACTTGGGATTGACACTTCCAATCAAACAATTTCCCCTCAGAAGACTTACTATCTTAAATGAAAATAAAATGGTTTCACACTTTGTAGCTTGCTTGATTGGCAAATAATATGAGCAAGATTTTGTGGTTAGCCTGCACCTTGGAGCTGCCTTGCGTTTGGCCTGTGTTCCTGGGAGTTCTTGAAAGGAGTGCAAAGCAATCTTTTTTCCCGAAGTGTATTTGCTTTGTACTGTCAGGTCTTGTTGAATGAGCAAGATGAGTTGGAAAAGCTGGTCCACTATCCAAATGAAAGCTGTTTCTCTACAAGAAATTACTCCCTAATGTAATGCAGAAAGATGGGTTTAAGAGGAAAAGAAACCATGCCATAGAGGCTAAGGTTTGGCACTTGTCATCCTCGTATCTTTTGGAGATGTGCCCAAGGGCTTCTGTTTCTGTTTTGAATAGTGGATCACTCTACAGTAATACTTTTCAATCAAAGCTGAGTGGATTAGGCAAGGTAAAAATCTTTGTTGATAACACAGCAACGCAGATGAATGTTCTGCAGTACTCTCCCAATGAAAAGTAACATGAGAAACATAGCTGGTCTGGAAGGGTATACCAGCTGATGTAAATGTCAGAAACTATCCAAATTGTCTTTCCAACTAATGAGTATTCACCTGCAACTGGAGGCAGCATTATAACTAGTAGGACACTGAATCAGTGTCAGTTTATGCAGGAAAGGCAAGTTGGGAAAAGCGATTGCTGTGAAACAGTGAAGCTGACACTGAAAGTGCTGTCAAATACAGAACAGAATTTGAAAAGTTTTGTTATTCTGGACATACAGAAATATTCTTCTACAGGCTGCTTCTCAACATGGAGCTCGGAAAAGCACTGCCTTGTGAATTTGATAGGAATTCATTAGGGACAGCTTTATTCCATCACCCCTTTTAATATCAGAGAACCAAGAGACTTCTTAACACAGTTCAAGCTCACGTTTTGTCAATGACATTCTGTGTTCAGTTGTGGGATCTTTGACAAAGCTTGATTTGACTTGGAGGTCATTCTTTCTTCTTAGTGGCAGAGCTGAGAGTAGTGTGTTCCACAGACAGATTTGGTCTAGGTGTCCGAACAGTGTTAGCCAAACAATTAAGTTATCACTTTTTACAACAGCACTTCATCTTAAACTGGAAAATACTGACGCAGAATGAAGTGAAAATTAGGATTTTCTTGGCAGAAGCATATAATGGCATTCACAGCTTTCGATACTCATATAAAATACGTGCACAGGCTTGTCGTGTACTGTTTAATTACAAATGGTAGGCATAATATGCTGTGTTACTAAGAGGGAACTACCTGTAATATTAGTACTTTCTGTAGTCCCCTTCATGCTTCAAAGTCTCATTCTTGTATAGATGGTAGGAGGAAAAGGTGAATGCATCTGTTGCTTAGCTTAAAAATGCATCTTTTGCAACGGTAGAATTGTGCTTTAAAAAAGACATAAGATAATTTAGTTGAAAATGAAGTCACTAAAAGACTCCATAGGCAAATGCAGTTTATTCCTAGAGGAATACAATCTGTTACACTAAGAAGATGAGGAGAGAGCATGTATAAAGGAGCCGATAGTCTGGATAGCCAGGCAGCTTTTGCTACTCTTGGAAAACAGTCCTGTTACAAACCTGAAGAGAATCCGGTGTCGGTCCTTCCATCCATAAAACTGCTTCAAGTTCACTTGTGGAGTTGGGTGCTCATTCCAAACTCATCAAAGGCAAGTGAAAGAATCTTGTAGGCTCCAGTGGATTCTAAATAAAGCCTGTATCTGTTTGTTTAGCCAGTTGGGGTACATTCTGGATCTACAGCATATTGCTTTGGGCATAATCCATTGTCATTCTTTATATGAAATTACATTTGAAATCACCAGAGGCTGTTTTGGAAGAGGGAAATGTTACTTAAAATAGCTTCTTTTCAAAGAAGTCACTTGAAAGGTTAATGACTGAAAAGACATGAAAATCCTCATGGGTGAGATGTTCTGTAGTGCAAATGGCACTTCCATATAGAGACGGAAGTGAGAGACTTTGGTGCACTTTTGCCAGCACCTGCTGACACAGTGGCAGGGAGCTAACTGTCTACTTGCTGGTTCAAGTTTATTTGCAAGATAAAACAAAATCCTGAGACTTGTCACTGTAGCCTGTGAATCAGAAGATAGAGTTTTTATCTCATTTCACCCACTTAACATTCAGTTATGTTGGGTGTAAAGCCCCCATAAGCATTATTTTTTTCTGAAGTTTATGAAAACAAATACTTTGATATTTGATCTCAATTATTTTGTGCTTACTGCACAAGCAGAGGATGTGGGGCAACTGCTTTCAAATACCTCCTATCCCTCGAGTATAAAGTAACGTTATGGGAAAAGTCTGAGCATCAGTGAGGTTAGCAAAGCAGAAAATCACATGCTATTGTTGGTACAGGCAAGACTGATTCTGGGACAGAAATATTTTTCTCTGGCTTAAGTAGTTCTGTATCACTTCTTCAGTCGATGAATTCAAGATACTAAGCTATTGTTTGGTTGTTATTTTCTGTTTAAACCAAGCTTTCTGTAGATTCCTACTATTATGTGGACAGCCCTGTTGCTAGTATCTTGGCTCTCAACCATGAGATCTTGATCATGTAAAGCTTGTTAGTGAGGTGAAAACCTACAGAATGCAAGTTGGGTGTCAAATCAGTGTGTAGTATGCCAAGTCTGTTAATTGTCTAAATGAAATGGGCTGTGGTAGGTTGCATCTATGGGAATTGTACTTCTGTGTGCAGGGATTTAAAAGGCAAGGATTTGAGTGCTTTGACAATCTTTTTAGAAAAACACAGTGGTTTCAAAGAATGATATGAAAGGAGACTGATAATACAGGTTGTTCCTTATGGAACCTTGAAATGTACTTAAAGGGGGAGGCATTGCCTCTCATAAGTCGAAGTTAATGATCCTTTCAAAACTTTGCTGTAATTACTCTCCTGAATGTTCTGGATAATAGTAAAAAGATATTTTTGCCTGGTGTTGCAATGAGAAAGCTGCATCAGGCTTGACTGTAGATCACTGCCTGCCAGAGACTAGGTGAGGGGAGGAGTCTGATATATTGGAATTCACAGATGCTTTTGTGCTTGTTTTAAATGTAAATGAAGAAAGCTGAGTGTGTCTGTTTTGTTCTCTTGCAGATGGCACTTTAACAAGTACATTTTTGGTAAGACTAGGGGGAGAGTCATCTTTTCCTCAGCCCTTTTATGGTAGGCATTTGTCTGTGTTTTGTATAAAATGTTAAATACAGCGGTCACTGAAATCCTGAACTGGCTACGGTTGTCAGTTGGCACCCTCATCTGTTTCTACTGAACACCAAAAACGTGAGCACTTGACAATACTGTTAATGTTAAACTGAAGTTCTGTATTCTGAGACTGATGCAATCTTGCAAGGCCAACCCGAATAACATAGTGCTGCTTGTCAGCCAGAGTCTCCTTTTTGCTTCGCTTAGGAACTCGACGGTGTTTGGGAATCCTCTTTTCTACCATCTGAACACAATGGCAGTAGCAGCAGGTTGGTTGTGTAAAGACGTAGCTGGATTCTTTGGATAACTTATTTTTGTGATAGAAAAAACCACAGCTGCTATCTGTAAATTCACACAACCTAAATTCATGAACTTGTCAGTTCCTTAGTTAGATAGCGGTGGTTTAACTCTTTCAGGACATACTGAAAAGGATGAACGGCAGCAAGGGTAAGCTCTTGGCTCAATAGATTGCACAGTTACAGTTCCATCAAAGTACCGAAGGGTTTAGTCTTCCCACTGCTGCTTAGCAAAATGGTCCTCCCACCTCAAATCCACATGGGGTTATCCCGTCAGTTAACACAGGTTCTCTCTGATACATATTTCCCGCTTTCTACTGTCAGGCCAATATTCCAGAGCAAGCCTGTATTTACTGTACAGTGGACATTAAAAGGAGGTGTCCAAAATCAGTCCTGGAATGGGCAAGGTACTGTCAACTATGTCCCCGTTTCTCTTGATGTTTGCAGAGAAATCCAGGGAATTAATTGCATGTGGCACTTAAAGAGCACTTTCTCATACTTACTTAGAGCTGTAGCTGTATTTCCCCCTGAGGACCTGAGAAGAGTCAGAAATGTCTCATTCTCAAGGATACTGAGAGTTCAGCATTCCCCTGACTCCTTTAATTTTTTTTAGGAAGAGATCTCCAGAACTTCCAATCGGCACCCTTCACCAGCACTAAAAAACAGTTAATAAAAATGTAACTAAAGACTAGTCACTGAGTGCTCGCCTAGGGATTCACGGCAGACTCCAGCATCAAAGGCGCTTGTGAGACTTGCTTGCTGCTGCCCGATTTTGGATGGTAACTTCTGTCTGCCAAGCATCTCAGCAGCCTTTTGTGCAACCTCTGCTACCCAGCGTCAAGCTAGAATTTCCATAATCATAAAAATAAATAAATAAATCACCTGTGTGGCTTCCATCAAGTTTCTTTCTTTTCAGAAAATCTAACAAAATAAAGATATAAGCTATTTCCTGAAAAAATACTGTGGCCGTGAGTAGCTGTAAGCCCATATTCCAGCTCTCATCCCTTGGAGTTTGCTTTCCTGTTTGCAGGGTGTGGGACTCTCCAGTCTCCTCTGTTAGAGATGAGGATCAGTCTGGCAAATCTGAACAAAGGCAGAAATGCAAGAGCCGGTGAATGAAAGGGTCCTAGTACAGCTGAAAGCGATGCGTTGCTTTTTTCCTGACAACCTGGTAAATATGAATGATGAAAGCTACTATTTAAAAGGAACTTTTTTTTTTTTAAAGTTGGGTTGCTAGCAGTGTTAAATGTAATTTAAATCTGTTGCGCCGAAGCATTTTTCTTACCAGTAGTCAAGTAGGAGATGTTTACTTTTATGTGTGTTTTCCCTTCTGCTCTTCCCATCCACAGTCCCGTTGTGGTAATTTCCTGAAGGTGTAATCTTTGTAGCATGATTGTACAAACATCCATATGAGATTCCTGACTTCTTGTTCTCACTAAGATATGTTAAAGCAATAGTAGTTTTACTTCTGTCTTTCTTTTCTCCACCTTCTGTATTGAGATTTGCAACTTCACTACTGTACTGTCCTAGAGGAATCCTAGTATCCTGCTATTCAACAGACGTATGTTGTTGACATGGATAACTGCAGTGTCCCTATATTCCTTTATTTTTATGGAGAAAATACAAAAGGTTTTGTTACAATGGATTTTAACACCTGAGTCATGGAACCATATTGTTGAAACTGTAAATTTTAAGGCAATTTTCTGAAATCGCTTGAAAGTGGAATGTTGCATCCTTTTATGCTATTTCCTGCTTCCTATGTAGTTTTATTCAGATTTTTTAACCTTCTTTCTAAGTTTCAGCCTCCTGTGTATTAGGTACAGTATTTTCTGCCTTTCATACTTTGTAATAAAAACGGAACATTTGTAGATTGACTGCAGTTCACTGTGTGGTGAGTTAAGAACTGGTACCTGTGGGGGTGAGCAGGGAACTACTTCAAATAGGCTTCGTGTATCCTGTGCGAAGTTTATTGCGTGAAAGAGAGGGCGATTGCTCTGTCTTGTCGCTATGAAACTGGTGAAGTGTATTCATCTCTCATCCTACTGGTACCCAAACAAACTTGGTAATTCTAGCAACATTAAGTTGCAAGTTCCCCCGAATAATTATATTGTTATGAACCCAGTTGCAGCAGAACTGGGCTAATATTTAAAGTACACCCGCATTTACTTTCTTATAACAAACTTACTGCCTGGTCCCAGTACACTAGTGCTGTTAGCGCTTGTTTTCCAAGTTTGCTTTCTGCATGTTCCGGATTTATTTTTTCTTTTTTTTTTTTACTTCAAATAATTGGTCTCTACGGGGTTTTGAATACAGGCAAATTGAAGACAAACCAATTAGGCACTTACTTAGCTTCTAAGTCTCTTCTGTGTATGGTTGACCTCCGTTAAAGGGTGTTTTCTTTACAGGCTCAGTCACTGGTGTTGCTGGAACTAGGACCTAGGGGGGAATAGGGTGGCAGGACTTGAAAATTTTTACCTTGGACCTTGGTGAGCAGCACTGATGACTTCAGTATTTAGATTAACTCTAGTTCAACTAAACTGTTGTCTGAAACATTGGATTACTCTCTTAATTCTTTGTGTACTGGCTTTGAAATAAAAGCTTATTAAGCTTCATGACCACAGTGGAAAGAGTTGCCTGTAAAGATGCTGCAGTGTTTTTAAGCTATATATGGACTTTGTTCTAGTAATCTGTATTTGGAAAAGATGCTTTTCTTCTAAGAATTGTTTGCCTTTTACCCTAGAAATTATTTACATCCCCCTAGATTATTTTTTTCTCGGATCTGCGCTTTGGAATTCTCTGAAGAAACTTTCTCAGCTTCCACACTGGTGGAAGAAAGCAACCTCTGCAAATCGGAGCTGCTAGTGCAAAACGTCGGGAACAGGTTGATGGTAGGAGAAATGGATTGTCTGTCAGTGTGGCAGAACAAGTGCCGTAAAGTCCTGTAGAGGCATATGGGTAGAAAACAGACAAGGAGAGGTTCTCTGCCTTCTGTAAATATTAAGGAACAGCTGATAGCTGGCAGGGCTGACTTGCTTGCTCTGTGACCTTGGGAAAATCACTTCTCTGATACCAGTTGTAAGTGAAAAGCACCTCATTAATCACCGATCAGTAGGTGGCTTGAAAATACTTGAAAATTAAAGAAATTCTCCACAGTAACAGAATATATTACCCACGGGTATAGAGAAAAAGTGATCCCTGAGATGATTTGAAGCCCTGACACCGTAACAAGCATTTAATCTTGTGCTTTTCCATTAGCACTGCTCTATAAACAGTTCAGACTGCCAGCTCAGAAGCAAGTAATGATTTAAAAGCATATAATATTTTTAACATCCTTCCTCCTCTTACTTCTCTTTTTAGTTTTGCCCACTCCACAAGCAGAATGGTTCCTATTTTTTAACCAGACAGCTTCAGAGCACCCTCTACTGGAGTGCTGTCAGCAGTAGGACAGGCACAGGCTGAGGACAGAATAGGACAAGGTAGGCAGCTGCCCCTCTGGGGCTGGGAAAAGCGTGTTCCAGGCACGCTTTTAAGGAGTTTCACATGGTTAATGTATTCTGCTGGAGGTAAGGTAAGGTTTGGCCTTACATTCTGCCACGTTGTCCTGAAGTTGGATAATGATGTTAGTTTTCCATTAACTTTGTTTTCAAAGCTGAGAACACGAGAAAGCGTTAGCAGAACCAGAACTGCCTGGAATCTGTGAGATTACTCTTCTCTTGGATCTGCAGAAAGCCGTGCAGAACGCTTGCATGCATCCTTTTAAGCTTTACAAGGTTTCTCCTCCTCCGCCCTTTCAATTTTTATTTCTCCTCGCTGCTCCTGTTCAGTGTCTCTGGCTGTGGAGTCTGAGATGTAGAATAATAAAGTTCTGACATGGGACAAGGCTCAGCCTGGAGACTGCTCAGCTCCCCAGGAAGGATGTGTCTACCTAAACAAGAAGGGAAGCAGGAAGGAAAGAAGAAATATTACATCTGACAGCAAGAAGAGGTTCTTTGAGTCAGACAGGTATGCTTCAGCAGATGGAAATACTACCAAAATAGAAAATAAAATGATGGCATAGTGATTAAGGAACTGGGAAAAGATGCCAGGAATTATAATCCCAAGGGTCTGCTCCAGACTTCCTGCGTAACTTTTAACAAGTCACTGGCTCTCTGTGCTGTGCGCTTTAATCCCTAAAATAGGGATTACGTTTCCTTTTCTTACTTCATGGTGCGTGATGGCATTGAGCAATTAGGCCTCGATAAAGTTCCTTTAAAACAAATGGGCTAACTATAAACATAATGGCTCCCGAAGAGTCTCGCTGAATATCTTTGCTGATGATTTTACATTAAATGGCCTCAAACAATCTAAATAGCTTTAAGTTGAAGAATTAAGTATGTTTTGCCGTTGCTGTTTATGGGAATGAAGCTTCTCTTCTGGAAAGCCGCAGCTTTAAAAGGATGTGGGCAATCTGGGTGGAAAACCACAGAATTATCAGTTTGTACCATAATGTTATTGCTAAAACAAATAACCTGATTCTTATGCACAGAACTAGATTAAGTAGATAGTAAAGGTGGAAAAAGAATTACTCATTTTTTTCTCAAGTTATACAAAATAGGGGCACCTATTTGGGCAGAAACTTTGATTTCAGTTCAGGAAGGGTGCACCACCTTGTCTAGGGGAAAAAAAAAAAAGGTGTGGGGGGGGTGTCTATAGTTGTCCAAAAACCAAGGCTAATGCACTTGCATATAGATAGTGTTGTGGTAATATCTGTAAAATGAGAATAGAACCGCAAATCGACAGATAAAAATTGCCGGTTTAGACATTAGGGTTGATAAGGGGGGTGAACTGATGGGCTGTTGAGGACAGATCGTTCTGTTTTCAATTTGATGAAGGGGAAGGGAAAAAGCTTCAGTGAAATCCAGCTGTCCTGGGCAGTTGGATACGGAAAGAGCGAGTTTTACCAGGGTGGCTGTCTCCTACCGTCTGCTGGCTCACTGTCACAAGCTGTGACTAGCTAGTCTTAACATCTTTTGGATTTAAGTAAACCAGCTTTCTACACGAAGGACATGGAATAAATCTCGTTTAACAGGACTTCAACCAGGAACTTTATGTGCAAACATGTAAGAACTGGAAGACAGACAAAAATAC